GTTGGACAGGTGTACCTAATAAAGTGGCCGGTGAGTGTATAGACCAATTTATTGGAAAAATAAATATGAAAGTCAATTAAAATATAAAACAGGAGATAAAGTTCTCATTTTTAAAATTTAATTGGTGCATTTTAAGTGTATTTATTTAGTGGTTCATATAATTCTGCCTTTATTTCTAATGATGTCAGTTTTGGTCCTCCGTACTGCAGAAGCCTGATAATCATCATATCAGGTGTGTTGGAGCAGAGAAACAAGTAAAACATGCAGGACTGCGGACCTCCAGGACCAGGACTGACCAGGCCGGTTCAGATGTGTTCCTGCTTTGGCACACCTGATTTAAAAGGAACAAGTGATTGAAAGGTTCCTGCAGAGATAAGCCTGCTGAAGAGCAGGGAAACATCTAAAACATGCAGGTTGATGGTCCTCCAGGACCAGGACTGAGATCTGCTCTGACAAACATCAGATATGTGTCTGATTCAGGACCAGGTCTCATTTTAAAATGTGTTTTTAGAAACACTGTGTAATGTTTAAGTTCTAGCTCCATAAGTACTCCTATTGGTTCTCATTCAAATTCAATATCTTTAATATCCACTTGGGCCGATTTGTGTCAGAGCCAGCAGAAAAAAAAACATTCATCAACCATAAATACAGTAAAAACCATAAAAAACATCTTGGTATATCTACTACAAACACTCACAACATTCACACTCACAACATTCAACACGGAGTATTTAAAATGACAATAACAGCAGGTAAAAAGAAATCCTTAAATCTGTTGGTTCTATATATTTTTGAAGCAGATCTGCATCCTGATGGTAAAAGATAAAACTCTGTAAAGAGGTGTGTTTAGGCTCAGCTAAAACTGCCGGAGCTTTCTTCAAGGATCTGTTTCTGTGGAGACTAATGATGTTATTTCATGGAGCACTGGCAGTTTTACTGCAGAGACAATGTGGTGTATGCATTTTTTGTTTTTCTGTCAACAGCCCATACCAGTAAATGAAAGAAAAGTAAGAACAGATTCAATAAAAAAAAAAGCAATACCAATAAATCAGTACTGGTGAGGACCCAAACTGAAGCTTGTACTTTGTTTCAGTGCATCAGTAGTGTCAACACAATTCAACATGACCACCACAGMTRTTTGACCTWATCTACAAAAACTGGCTACAGAAYATATGTAAGCTCAAATTTAGTGTGGCTGATCATTCACAACACCTACCCCAAATTAGGGATGTACAATATTTCAGCATTAACATCGGTGTTGGTCCGATATGTAAAACTGGGCCGATATTAATGTCCGATATTGATTTCCCACTTTTTATCTTTGTGTTTTGTGGAGATGGTTGGTTGAACATCTGTTTGATCATGAGTGATATTGATGCTGCAGCAGGAATATCTGAAGTAGAGTCATGTCAGACGTCTGCTTCTTTAGTTACTGT